TCACTCTTATACTTATCTAAATTCTATTGATTCTCTTCTCTCATTTTCCTGTCTACCTTTGTGTGCTATTTGGAACGTGGCAACTGGAACTGCTGCACTTCGGTGCCAAGTTCTATGTTGAATCCAGCAGCAACCAGCAGCAGCAGACACCAGTCGGTTAGTCAGGTTTTGGTTGGTTAGTTTGAATCACTTAAAGGAGCATAAACCATCTGTCTGAAATCCTCAAGAAGCATGGAATGGAATGGCTTCTAATTGTTGATAACATGACTACTCAGCATAGTCCTTAATAGTGTAGATGCATTCACTCTTCTCAGGATTTTTGCATGTGCGTATAGTATTTTTACTCCCATACACTGTGGTGGTAGGTACATGATAATTCCTTTGAAATTGTATATTTCCCTCTATCTTTCTGTATGTTATATATAATGTGGAGTGTGTAGCAACCTGAACTGGTGTACTTTTTTCTTTATTAGTTTGTTTATTAGATATATCACAGAGTCAGTGAAACAGTATTATTTACTGGATGACGTTTCGAACAAAATTTATTGTTCATAATCATATCGGATGATGGAATGGGATGATCCCAATACAACACCAACAATAAGGAATCAAAATCATCAGTAGTAATTTCATAGAAGGAAGGAACCTCGAAAACCTTACGCAGAATTCTTAACAAGGCAGGAATAAAAGTGGCTGGTGTTCAAACCCACAAACTCAATTAGAAACAACCTTTGTCGGTTAAAGGATCAATCCTGTGGAGCCTTTAAAACAAAACAATTCCGTTTATCTAATACCCTACCTGCAATGATTGTCAGGTCAAATACATAGGTCAAACTAGTAGAGTGGGGGCAGTGAGTCAGACTAGCCGAGCATAAAATCCTAGCAAAATCTAGATTGGTTGACCCGAATAAGATAAGAAATCTAGAGAATAGTTCAGTTATAGCACTCACTAAATGCGATTACACACAACCATACAATAGGATGGGATAAGGTGACAGTTTTAAAATCTAATGTAATAGTAGAGTGGAGGCAGAGATTGATAACAGAAGGTTTGTTTATCGAATCAACTGAGAGACAATACGTGTAATGGGAATGATTCAACACCTGTCCAGTCGGATATCTGGAAAATTCTACTACCCCAACGACGACAAATAGGAGCGAACAAAGAAAACTATAAAACTCAAGTTTCAAAGTCGTGTGATTATAATTGATGAAATGATTATGAACAATAAATTGTATTCGAAACTTCGTCATCCAATAAATAATACTGTTTCACTGTGTGATATATCTAATAATACCGGGGACAATTAAAAGTGAGAGTAGTAATAGTAACAATTGACTTAATAAGGAAGAGTATACAAATTGAATAGACAAAAAATGAAAAAAATGGAGAGTTGGTAGAGCTAAAGTATGATTGGGGATTACCATACTTTAGCATAGAGGGATTAAGACCATGAATCCCTCTATGCTAAAGTATGGTAATCCCCAATCATACTTTAGCTCTACCAACTCTCCATTTTTTCATTTTTTGTCTATTCAATTTGTATACTCTTCCTTATTAAGTCAATTGTTACTATTACTACTCTCACTTTTAATTGTCCCCGGTATTATTTCACTTGTTCCACTTGTCATTCTAAATCAATTCCTTTATGCAACATTAAATTCTATATCTAATAAACAAACTAATATGGAATTACTTACTACCACAGTGCCCAAGTTTTACACATATATTAATGTACTTTTTTCTGTTTAAAGGTTTTTTTTTACTTTCAAGAATCAGTTCAGGATTAATTGTTGATATTTATATATATGTACACTAAGGTGGATGATGCACTTTTTTCATGATACCCTAATTTTTTCTTAGTGTTATCTTTCAAATGCTTTCATGTTACTTAGCCTCAAAAGGCCCTTTACATGTATACATTATATGATTTTTGTAAAATTCATAATCCATAAGGTTCGATAGTAGAATAAATAAATAAGGCAGTCTCGCCCAGTCTACTAATTCGCTACTTTTCTAGCCGATCCTAAATCCGGGAAAGGAGGGAAGGTTAGGTGTGTAGAGCTACCGACCCTATCCCGAAAAATCAATCTAACGACTACAGAAACTTCAAAACACAACAAAAGTATTTAAAAAAATAAACGTATTCTTCTCTGGAATCAGAGAGATGAAATGACACAGTGGGCTGGTGAAAGCCTTCGGGAATGCATGTATCAGCCGATATGTCGATGCTTTTGATGAAAGCAATAATAAGGCTATGGATGTGAAATGTGTTCGTACAATGCACTAAGCTGAGAAGGCTGTTCAGGTTGCCGGGAAAATAAGAAGATACGGTATAGAAGTGCTGGGAATCCGCGAGAGCAATTAGTGGAATGGATGTGGACTATCTAAATTGTCAACTGGAGAGTCAGTAATCTACTCTGGTCACCCAGACTACAACCATGAAGACACTGAGAAAGTGGCTGTTATGATTTCACCGAAATCGACCGGAACCAATTTCATCCTACAGGATTATGACAGCAAGATTCAACTCAAAAGGAAGGAAGGAAGGTTAGAATTATCCAATGCTACGCACCTACAAACAACGCGGAACAAGAGAAGAAAGATTTATATAGACAACTGTAAATAATAATGGATAAGATCCTAGATGACAACATCGAAATCCCAATAGGTTATATGAATACCAACCAAACTGGGAGTAGGTAAACGATAAGGAGAACTTAACATGGATCGGGAGGCTTTCAGGGAAATAAATGGTTTCACGGCTGCCCACAATGTTTTGTCTTTTCTGTACGTTAACTTTTCTTCGTGTTACTGGCAGTCACCAAATTTACCTCTTTCCGTTTATGTTCCACTTGAAAACCTATGTGGCATATGCTGTCATTTGAAAACGTCTTCAATGTTGGCAAATATGCTTCTCCTTTTTATTGGTGCTGTGTAGAACTGTTTGTTCTTATAGCTCTAATCCGTCGCAATAATTGAACATTTGATCGATACTGGTCACCTTATCTCTCTATAGCCTCTTCCTGTATGTATAAGGCAAAAAAAAGAAATCAAACAAACGTCTTCAACTCATCAATCAGTATTTCTGAAGGTGTTTCGTCATTGAAGTAGATAAGTCAGAGCTTTGTTTATCGAAAACTGAAACTGTTCAACCACTCCTGCTTTCATGGTCTTAATCCATCTGATAATCCGCATTCTTGCCTTGGCCCTACTTATTTTTCCTTTTATTTATTCAATTTGTTATTATTTTGGTATTGTTATTGTTATTATTATTATTATTTTCACACTAGGTAGTAACGTGTGTCATGCGTTCATTCCGTGATGTTTGGTACAGACTGAACTCTGTTAGTCAAGTCTGCAATGTGACCACCGTGTTTGGTGGTTCACTATCACGGTGCACTCTAGATTGTTGTTATAAGATGGTTTGAGGCAATCAGCAGGAAGCCTTGCTCGACCTAGATTTCGTGCTTCTTGGCACTCACTAGTCAACAAGGTGTATCTGCAATCTTGAAGAAAGCATATGTCCCTTCTGAGATTCGAACTTGACTGATAGAATTCAGTCTGCAGTAAACAAAGGAATAGACACATGTCAGTAGTTAGTGTCCAATCAAAGTATCTAATACAGTCGCCTTACAGGTGGTCATTCGCCAGCCCGGTTAGCTCAGTGGTAACGTCTCTGACTGCGGCACTGAGTAGTGACACAGGTTTGAATCTCAGAAGGGACATGAGTTCCTTCAAGATGGTTGCAGATACGCCTTGCTGACTGACTGGTGAGTGCCAACTAGCACGAAACCTAGATCAAGCAAGGCTTCCTGTAGCCGATTGCCTCCAACCATCTAATGATAATAGCTTCGTTTAAAATCAGTCTCTTTGCTGAATCATCACTTGACGCTACCAGAACGTTTTAACTTCTTTATGCAGAAATTAACTTGATATATAGAGGAGAACCACGGAAAATCCGGAGAAAGGCATAATCCGAGTTGTTATTTTACATTCAACTTCAATACCTTCGATTATTATTATTATTATTCCCTTGGGTTCTGAGTGGAACATAGGGCTTCAACAACAAATCTCCACTTTGTTCTATTTTCTGCCATCCTCTTCAGCTGGGTTCACGATTGCCCAAACTCTCTCATCTCTTCCTCACACGATCTCCTTCATGTCACCCTAGGACGACCCACTCGTCGCTTCCCTTTGGGATTCCACTCGAAGGCCTGGCGTGCGACGTCATTCGACGACCTCCTCAACGTATGCTCCATACATCTTCACTTTCTCCTACATATTTGTTGAGCGATCGGCTCTTTGTAGGTTTGTTCCCAGCAAAGTTTCTTGTTGCTGATTCTTTCTGGATGGCCGTTTGATCTTCAGTATGTACCCAGAGAAGGCCGCTATTGATAAAATTCTGTAACTTGTTGGAAATGCTTTTCGTGATACGCTAAGTTTCTCACTCGTATAGAGGAACTGATCGACTTCACATTTGTGTTGAAAATCTGAATCTTATTCTTTATGCTGCGGCTGAGTGACAGCAGAAGATTTCCAAACTGATTTGAGATTGATGAAGGCGTATCTTACCTTTCCGATTCTGGTTGGCTTTGACATCTTCATCCGTTCCGGCTACCGGTAGTTAAAACGATGCTTCCTAGATAGGTGAAGGAGGTAACCTCTGTTAAATCTCTCCCCTCGATGGTGATTGGTACTGGTTGTTCTTGTTGTTGCCGTCGGTTGGTTGATTATCTTCATCACCTCCGTCTTTTCTATTTTCACCTGCAATTCTCTCTTCGCTGCTTCTACAATATACGAATTATTATTATTACCATTATTCTATTATCATACTATAACAGAAATTGTTGTTTGTGTGTGTGTGTGTGCGCTTATGTGTTTATTGAGGAGCAATGCATTTCTGCTTGATAAATTGCATGATATAATTAATTATTCAAGCTTTATATATTATCTCTCTTTTCATCATCATCATCATTATTATTATAATTTATTACAGGAGAGGAATTACTCTACGATTATGGTGATCGGGATAAAGAAAGTCTTGAAGCACATCCATGGTTGAAAACATAGACAAAGCAATCCAGAAGAAAGCGTCTAAGTGTGTGCGGGTGTGTGCGCTTGCGCTTGCGCGCTCCAACACACAAAGCGTATCAAGAAAGATTGTCAGATTTATCTATCGCAAATAGGTATAGTATTATTATTATTTGTCCACCTATTATTTCAGAAGATTATTCTGATAATTTTTCGTTTTTTTTTTAAAAATTTCTATTTTTGTATTCAATGGAAATTGTTGTGTTCCTAGTTTATTCTTCTGTGTTTCCGTTCCGTTCCGTTCCGTTCTGTTTGTTTGTTTGTTTTCTCTATTTCCCAAATATGCAAATGACTGTCTCAGTGTCAGTGTTACAAGGAATGGGTTACTCCACCTGCCCAATGTCAGCGTCTTCTTTTTCTCTTCGAGAGCATTTTATCATAATGCCAAGCATTTAATATTGTCATTATTATTATTATTATTATTACCATTTATTATTCATATGTAGTGATATTCATATTGTTATAATTGTCGGTGTTAAAGTCTTATTTTTTATATATTCACATATATGTATACTCCTACATATGTATATTAAACTTTTATGTGTGAAGTTCTTTGTTCTTTTGCGAAGACCATCGACTTAGCACATCTTAGCACAGAATTCCAGTTCAGTTTGTGTAAATTGACTATTGTGTGTGAGGTTGGGGGTGGGTGGGTGCGTGGTGTGGTTCATTGGTATGCGGAGGGGGGGACTAGGTTCGATACCCCTGGTTGACTCACCCTCACGTAGTTTACTAGCCTCCACAGTAAGCCCAGGGGAGAGGAGAGAGGTTAGGTGTGAAGTGATCATGTTGCTAAAAATGCGAATGTGCGATTACAAGCTATTATGAAATTGTTGTCTTATAATTTGTGTGAGGGTAAGGATACTGCTCGGACATTCAGAGTGAAGCAGGTGGTTGTCTTAAGTGGCCAACACGCAAAGCTTAGACGTGAAGTCTGATTTACAAGGCAGTGGAGCTGCGTTCCTATGATTTCCGGTGACCGAAATAGGTCTATACGCCATTCGATCCAAACGGATTCTAGAGCTGATGTTCATCTAGGTAGGTAGGTAGGTAAGGTTGTAAGCGCCAGATATGCATATTCACCCTTTTTACTTTTGTGAGCAACACCCACAATGCGTGAAGGCAGTGAATAGAATGTATGTTGCAGAGGCCATGTACGCGTGGCCACTCCGGACAGCATTTCGAGCGGTAGATCTGAGAGTTTATCCACCTTCAGTTGTACTTAGTAAAAACCAAACAGCATCACCAGTACTGATTCCATGTGTTCCTTTTGGAACTCAAAGGTATGAATAAAGCTAACTGTTCAGTGAGTATTAGTAATTGTGATCCCAAGTGATAGCTGCTACCTTGACATGGTGATCAGACTTGAAGATATCGCAATGACCTGACGACGAGATACACGCGATGCCACCAATGTTCTTGCACGTTCTACCCTACCAGAAAAGTCGTTTCAATAGCCGCTAAACTAGAAGCACCGAAAATACACATTGAGTCATGAAGAAAATAAAAGACGGATTCAGCGAAGAAAATTTTCTTTATCGACGAAATCATCTTCAGAGGCTGTACAATCGTATTTATACTTACAAAAATATATAGTGGTCTATTATTGAGTAATAGGGGGTGACATAATTGATATAATTACTCAGAAGTGGCTTTAGAAGTGAAAATTAAAAGTAGAAAATTACGTGGTACTCAACGGCAAAAAGATAGAAATTTGATAAGGTTAAAATTGCTATTAAGTGAGAATAAAGGTATTTGAGTGTCAATTTAACAAGTGTGAAGAGGGTGTGAAAATATACAAAAGGAGCATATGAGAGTGATAATAGCGAATTAATTATTGAAGCAAAAGCTAACTAAAAGTGAAAGTAGAATGAAAAGAAAAAATTCAAAAATTTTTTTTTATTTACAAGGAACGATTAGTGAAGAGGTTAAGACCAAGGTAGAATAAGAGACTGAACAAACTTTTTCTGTATACAGAGTTCAGGGTTGTATTGATGAATTGCTAGAGCCTCCACCATACACAAAAGCCGAAACCTGACGCCCTTTGTACCATTTGGCTTCACTTTGTAGATGATCTTGAAAGAGGATTCTGGTGGAGCTACGTGGCCTGAGTTCACCAAATGCTCGAGAATTGAGCATGGTTAGCAAAGGGACAATGTAAGACAACTACTAGCTCAATTCTCGAGCATTTGGTGAACTCAGGCCACGTAGCTCCACCAGAATCCTCTTTCAAGATCATCTACAAAGTGAAGCCAAATGGTACAAAGGGCGTCAGGTTTCGGCTTTTGTGTATGGTGGAGGCTCTAGCAATTCATCAATGCAACCCTGAACTCTGTATACAGAAATAGTTTGTTCAGTCTCTTATTCTACCTTGGTCTTAACCTCTTCACTAATCGTTCCTTGTAAATAAAAAAAATTTTTGAATTTTTTCTTTTCATTCTACTTTCACTTTTAGTTAGCTTTTGCTTCAATAATTAATTCGCTATTATCACTCTCATATGCTCCTTTTGTATATTTTCACACCCTCTTCACACTTGTTAAATTGACACTCAAATACCTTTATTCTCACTTAATAGCAATTTTAACCTTATCAAATTTCTATCTTTTTGCCGTTGAGTACCACGTAATTTTCTACTTTTAATTTTCACTTCTAAAGCCACTTCTGAGTAATTATATCAATTATGTCACCCCCTATTACTCAATAATAGACCACTATATATTTTTGTAAGTATAAATACGATTGTACAGCCTCTGAAGATGATTTCGTCGATAAAGAAAATTTTCTTCGCTGAATCCGTCTTTTATTTTCTTCAAAACTAGAAGCAGTTGTTACCCGTTTACATTATGTTGGGAGGTTTGTGGGCAGCATATTAGTACTGCTAATAAATAGGAACAAAGTAGCAGTAAGGTGTTTCCCTCAGCAAACCAGTTATGCGCTGCCTGTCCACTCTGGATTGGCGTGTTAGATATTGTCTCCCACAAAAATTGAATATCCTAACTTGTCCTGAGATGGTTCCTAGCTGACGGTAGGATCTTACTTAATACGGACACAATTCTAAAGTTCACTTGAAACAGTCCGGTGTGTGACCAGTCTCAAGCATTTATCCCTTGGGTTTTTCTGGTCTGGTGCGTCAGTGGCACAGTGGTTAGGACTCTCGCCGACCATGCACATGGTTCGGGGTTCGATCCCCCGCCGACGCACACCCGATATCTATGGTCGGCCTGCAAAATTCGGGCTACCGATATCCATGCTGAAAATGCCATACTTGTACTGAAAATACGATGTGGCATCAAGCTGTAATCAAAAATCAAAATAAATAAAAAAAATACTCTATACATTTCATGGCGATTCAAGATGAAATCAACTTCCGTGGAGTGTGAGCAACCGGGGAAGTAATAACCGCGCAAATACTTCCATAAGTATATAAAGCTTTACTGATCATCACCCCAGCAGGACTCGAACCAGCAGCTATCTATCAGCTGAGTGAACTACGATACCCAAATACTATTAATCAGCTTGTCGTTTCACTACAATCAACACGAGTAATGTTCAGCTGTCATATGAATGTATGGTGTGTTACAAACATTTTGGTTTTTATTATAGATTCTGGTCAAGCAATATTGGAGAGGGACTCGAACGTGAAGTCATGAGGATTCGGAGTGGAGTAAAGTATGTTATACATATATAGATGCAGAAAATACTTACCAGTCAAAGTGGAAGGTACGAACTCAATTCCCAGCCGATACACTCCTAAGCCTCTCATAGTTTATTAGACACTAGTCAACTGGGATAAGAAGGAAGGTTGGGTGTTGAGGTGAGCACCACTAAGGTTACTGAAACTTCAAAGCTTGAAGTCTTGTGCTCCATGCGGAACACAAAGTAATGCTCGAGAACATCTCCCACTATGGCTAAGTAAAGGTGTAGTGAAAACTATTAACAGTTCGATATTGGACCATCTGATGCAAACCGGCCACAAAGCCAGCCAGCATTGAAGAATCCTTCTCTATAATATACCGGGTGCCTAATAAATTGCCAAAATAATCGAAGCACCACATGCTCCAAACAGCAGAGGCTATTGCGATTCACCTCAAACAATCAGTGCTCTTTGTTCAAAAGAAGCAAGTCCAGCCAGCCACTACTACTGCCCTGGCCGGCCTTCCGTAGAGACTAATTATTCATGAATTTGTAATATTATCTGTCCTAATTTTTCTGACATTCCTCTTACTTTATTTTGATGCTATTGAGCTGTAACCTATCCATATTATTGATTCGGTGTTATTTAAACAGCACTAATGTTGTTCATAACACTAATTCATTCATTCATTCACTATAATGTATATATAACTGTAGAGCCTGATGATGAAGGGGTTATCGAAAAGAGTATTCTTTGTTCAGTATCCATTTGTATTTTCGGTCTACCATAATATCGAGGTAAAATAGGTCCGTTAGATTCCATTCACCATTTATCTTGTTTTGTAATTTGTTTTAATTTCGTTATTTTATTTAAAGTTATTTTGATTTTGTTATCTAATGTCTGTACAGGGTTTTTCGTCAACTACTGATATACATTATTATCTTCGAGTAAATCCTCTGCTTTCTTTATACAGTCTTCTGTATGCAGGATTACTGTTGTTCTCCCTTTGTCAGCTGGTAGAATAACTATGTCTTTTCTATTCTTCAGTTTCTTCAATGCATTCTGCTTTTGAGTGCGAAGTTGGGAATTATGTCTTTTCTGTTTGATTATAGGTATGATACATTGATGTATTTCTTGGTGTTCTTCCTCATTTAATGCTAAGAAAGCACGGAAATCCGTTATCGAAGCGTCACCAGAGGAAACACCAAAAGTGCCAGAGAATTCCTAGAAGCATAGTACTCAAGCGAATATGGGATTAACAAACATGTTAATATGGACCAAATCTACCAACTAATCAAACGTAAATCATGTAACGAAAAAGTTCAAAATCCAAGTCAATAAAAAAGATCACTACAAATGTAAACCTACTACCACTGACGAAGATGGTTATCAGGAGACGCAGTTGTATCATTCATGGAGAATTTAAATCAGTTCATTTTATGCTAAAACTTGAGCTGAAGATTTGTCTAGCGGGGGGACGACGAAAGCTCCTCAATGAAACCGACCAGCCCAGAGAACACAACTAATTTCAAATATAATGATTAGGTGTACAGCGTATACATCTAGCTATCATTTGAGTAAGTAAAATGCGTCAATCTGTTGAACACATTCACTCGATACTGGAGATCACATGACTGAACAGAAATAATGACCAATAAGGAATTGTAGTAGCTCATCCAGCTAGAGAATAACTTATCACCAAACAAATATTCAGTAGAAAATGAAGATCGATCAGACAGGCACGCTGAGGAAGCTGTCGGCTGACATCATACGCCAGGTCTTTGAGTTCAGCCCGAATGGGAGACGACGAATTGTGCATAGGTCCAGGGGGGTAATTGGAGGAGATCATTTGTAAGAAATGATAGCTACGTTAATCATATAACCAGCTGAAAGGAATGACAGAGGAGCAGTTAAGGTGGAGGTGTACTAATGAAGTCTTATATTCTACTTAGAACGCAAGGAAAGACTGATAATAATAGTAATAATAATAACGTATGTGCCTTATAGAGACTCCTAGAATGAATTTCTTTGATATCAGCAGTTTGTTTGTAGGAATCTGATTTGTTTGAAGTTTAACCACGGATCGATATCAGTTAGAGGACCATTGAAAACCATCAAGTGCTGGACAGATGTTTCGTCCTAGTTTCGGTCTCCCTAGCAATACACACGCACCGGGCATCAAACCCAGGACCTTCCACTTACACGGTGGGCCACTGGGACCTAACTCACTGGCCAGCTGTTGAATTCTAACTTCTACCAATTTGTGATTTTAGCGTGGCTACCGACGAATGTCATCGCTGGCGAGTATTTGTTCTCACTCCTGATAGCTGTGTACAGATGATGGGTCCCAAACTAGGACGAAACAGCTGTCCAATACTCCGTGGTCTTTGATTTCATTTCAATGTTATTTGATTGGCTAAGTCTTAAATGGAACCTGTCAGCTGGAAGGGCCGAAATTTCATGAAGTGTTGGCGTTCCCTACAATTTAGTAGACCTAAGAAGAAGAAATTTAAAACTTTCAAGAAACTGGAACTGACGCTGGTTGAACAAATGTGGCGAGTGCTATTCGTAGTTAGACATTAATTGTTGACTTACTAACTGACTAATTTATCAGCAGACAGAGATTTCCATAAAAGCCTATTATTAGTTTAATTCGCCATATTTTGGAAAGAAAAATTGGGAAATGAGTGACAGCGTGATGGAAGATAACTCGATGAAGATTAATGACCAAAATTAGAATTTGAAAGAGGATAAAAAGAGATAAGCATATTTATGCCATTTGTAAAGCTATCGAGGCATATCATCTATTGTCTCTAACCAGTCATTATTATTATTATTATTATTAGCATCCCATGGATTTTAATCAAACAGCCTTCCATCAACCTCCCATACTTGTATAAAAGTAATATAAACAGACTATGGACTCCTTTGGATACTTTTTCCCTCAGATTTTATATATATTTAATACGCAGACAATTCTCCTTATCAGCCATATGCAGATGTAGATGAATTAAATCGATTTATATTGGACTAGGTCATGCATCGAGTCCTTTGTTTAGTTCAGAATAAATTCTATCAAGCCAGAGCCTATCCTGCAGCTAAGTTGGTTCCCGTCTATCGGACAACATGCTCTTTAGTGCAGTCGAAAGTTGACAGATACCCTTTTCATGTTAACTTCAACTGTGGATACAAATTTACATGTATCTGCGGGAGCAGTTACATTGGGAGAACAGAAAGTAGAAGGGCACACCTGCGATTTTCTGAACATGTACTGAAAAGTCTACATCTCAAAAGAACAAACGCTTACAATAGGGCCATTACCAATCATCTCATAAGGTGGAAATCGCAAAATCCTTTAAAATTATCAATAGACAAAGAAAACTATTTTGTCTATTAATAAATTTAAAGAATTTTGGGACTGTAGTAGCCCAGTGGCAACATCTTTGACCGCAGCACTAGATGACCCAGCTTTGAATCTTGCATAGGAATATAAGTTCTTTCAAAATTCCATTATGGATAAGATTTTATTTTGATAAATCACACATTTGAATAAAATCAATATAAGATGATAAAGTACATTCGGAAATAATAATATTAGTGTTATCAATAAAATACAATAGGATGAGAAATAAGATGTTTTACCAAATAAGGAGGAGGCATCTGAAACCCTACATAGGATTCTTAATAAAGCAGGATTAAGGGTGGTGGCATTCAAACTTACAAACTCACTCAGAGACAAGCTCTGTAGGCTAAAGGACCCGGTGGACCCAATAAAACAAAATGAGTTAGGTCAACTACATAGGTCAAACTAGTAGATCAGGAGTAGTGAGATTATCAGAACATAAGAATTTAGCTAAGGTTAGAATAATTGACCCCAAGAAGATAAGTAATTTAGAAAAAAGCTCAGCGATTGCACTGCATGCATTAACACACAACCACACAATATGGTGGGAGAGAGTCAAAATTCTAAAAAGTAATATAGGTGGATGGGGATGGAGAGAGAGATCGATTACTGAATCCTGGTTCATCGAGTCTACTTACACCCAACACATGCAACAGAAGTGATTCAACGCAAATACCAGAGATATGGAAGATATTATTACCACCAGTCAGTCAAATCAGAGGAGGATAATAAATAATCTTAAAATTCTATTTCGATTCACGTACATCATAACATTCTAACAAATTACTTATTTTGACTAAAACAAACATCTTATTTCCCATCTGATTGTATTTAATTGATAACACTAATATTATTATTTCCAAATGTACTTTATCTTATACTGATTTTATTCAAATGTCTAATCAATTTTCACTCATGTATATAAATGAAGCATGAAACTTGTGTAAGTAGTGCCTTGATATGATTATGACGACAGTGATATAGGAATTAAATCAGAAATTAAGTATCTTGGACTTATTCTCTCTTCTGATCTCTCCTGGTCTTCCCATGTCTTAGCGATCTCCAGTAAAATATTCCGCCTGACATTTTACATTAAGAAGTTAAGGCACTCGGGTATAACTCAACCCCTCCTCTTACAGTTCATAAACTCTTGCATCCTACCTATTCTTCTTTATTGTTCACCCTTATTCTTTCCTGGTTTGCTTAAAAAGGACTACGTCACAATTCGTAGAATGCTGAAGACGGTCAGTAGGGTGAGTGGTGTCCCAGTGGACTACATAGTTAACGTCGTTGTCGATAGGCACTTAACCTCGTGCAATAAATTTGCTAGAGGGATTTTGTCTGACTTGGAGCATCCACTTTACCCTCAGCTTTCACCTTGCATCTCCTCAGGTAGAACAAGAAGTAACTTCAGAAAACTGTATGCTCGCACGTCTAAGTATAAAAATTCTATGATACCATACTTGGCACGTATTTTATGTGATGAAAATAATGTCAGGCAAGAATTAACTAACCTTTTTTCATCTAGTAAATAAACAATTTCCTCCATCCATCCTTATATACCTTCAAGTTTTACTTTTATTATTTCTATTATATTTATGGTCCTGTTGCTTCTTTGTTTTACTTTCATAATTGCAAACACCAACTTATCTCTATGACTGCTGTAATCTTTGTTTTTCCCCTCACCATATCATGTAAAGAGAACATTATATTCAATAGTTTTAAACATGTTAGGATTTCTATACCGCATCGACAATACTGTGTGAAACAAGCCCACGGCAATTTTCACTTGTATTATTATTATTACCTTAGCTGTTATCATTACTATTATTCCCATTTAATATGCTGCATGTTTTTGAAATTACCCCTACTGTAAATGTGGAAAATTTTCTGTGTGACTAATTTTTATTTATAATTTGAGGAAATTAGATGCAAATATTGTGATTAATGCTGAAAATTCCATTCTGTATCACAAGTACTGTTTTTGGAATAAAGTAAATCGTTATTATTATTAATTTGTGCTCGAAAAGTTGTCATCGGTAAAGGTTACTCTACTTCACCACTATGTGATCATATGAAAATAAAATTTTCTCCATAATTAACATGTGCCACTGGCGCTTTACCTCCGTCTTTAGGACTCAAGCTATCAGCATCAATCATAATAATCCCATGCTGCATACAGCTAAGAAATGATCTCTTGATGTGAAAAGATTACGCTAAATAAAATACAAAATTAGACGAAAAAAACAACGAAAACATAACCACTAAACTATTTATTCATTTCACTTATAATATTAATTTTCATATATTTACAAAATTGTGTATTAATCAATATTAACAATGATTGAAAGTTTTGTTAATCAATAATTAATCAATTAATTATACGAGGTAAAGGTCATTTGAAGGTTATTCGGTGACCAACGACCAATGAAATTCAAACTTGAATTGTTATGCTGTTTTGTTACTTAATTCTGTGTGTATATGACTACTTAAATGGACAATAGTAGTAGTATATGCCTTTTACATGAATTTTTTATTTTCTGAATTAGAAATGAAATATTTGTTTGTATGCCTTGTAATAAATTGTTGTGTTTTTTTTTAATGATTATTTTTGTTGACTGTCATTCTGTGCCAGTAATCGATACAAGTGTTCATCACTTAAACATCCTTGAATAAATTCATCTTTTGTCAATACACTATCAGAATTCACATCCATTTTGGTGAATATTGTCCTTGTCCGTTCAGCTGGTGTCTTATCATTCTTCTCATCAATATCGCCAACCATTAAGTGAATAGCCTTTTTAAGGAGAGAAAAAACAGAATGCAAAATGTATAAATTACATAGAAGTTTAGTAAAAAAAAAAGGGGACTTTTCTTAAAACATAAGCGTCATGGTGTGGTATATCCTACTACTCTTTGATTGGACACTAGTGACTAGTGCGACGTGTCTAGTCCTATCTCTGATGCAGACTGAATTCTATCAGTCAAGTTTGCAATGTGGCCACCATTCTAGGTAGCTTGCCATCACGGTGCACATTGATTTGATGATATTAGATGGTTGGAGGCAATCGGCCACAGGAAGCCCTACTTCACCTAGGTTTCGTGCTAGTTGGCACTCGTCAGCTCACTAGTAACGTCTCTGACTGCAGTACTCACTGGGTGACGCGGGCTCGAACATCGGGAGGGACGTGAGTTCCATCAAGGTTGCAGATGCGCCTTGCTGACTGGTGAGTGCCGACTAGGACGATACCTAGGGGAAGTAGGGTTTCCTGTGGACTGCCTCCAACCATCTAATATCCTACTACGCTATTGACTTGATTGGTGTATAAAAAGAGACGTAGTTCATTGGCTTAGGCAGTAAACTTTTTCAGTCGAAAGGCATTAGGTGTTCGAGTTTCCCTATATCTATTTCAGTCTGGGCAGCAGGGTAGTATCATTAGCTCTGGAATAAAATATATGTGGCTCTTACTCGAGTACATGAAAAACTGAGTTGAAACACGCAACTCACATTAAACAGTAGTGCTTGATACTCAGATGGATGGGATTGGAACACCAAACGGCCCTTTCACTCCTTCGGACTCTTTTGATCAGTGGAATCTACCAGGCTGGGCTCGAGGCGACAATAGCTGTCATTTAAGCCACCTCCATCTCACTGGCTGGACGTTCAACAATCTAACCTCGTAACTCAAATGTCCTGGATTCGATTCACTTGGTTGACGTCACTGGTGCTTACTGTTGAAAGTACTAATAAGCAGAAATTTTATCCCTCCCCCTCTTATTTATATCAAATAATTTATGATGGTATACGCTAATGATGGATATGAGTAGTTGAATATGTGTTACCAGGTCGCCTAAGTGGCTATCTAGAATTCAAAAGGTGTGAACTAATTCGACTCCTGAACTCAGTCATACCGTGTAAGCTCTTGATAAACTGTGTCTCAAGCGAGTGAAACTACATTCGGGTGTTTGTATTAGTTCGATCTAACTAGAACGTACTAGTTGTGGATGTGAGTGGCGTCCAACTAGTAATATCAACCAACCAGTAGTATATATCATCATGTAGTGATCCTTTCTTTCCATTTACGGTACCTATCAAGCAGATCATATATTGTTATTTGAATATTGCTGCCTTCCATAGGAAACTTGTTGCTTTTCATTCCCCGGAACTGGAAGATATGCAAGTGAAAAGCAACAAGTTGGCAGAAGAAGCATACACAGAAGATAGGACTTCAGGTGAACATAGCGAAAACAGATGTGATGAAGATTCCTGGCCAACAGCAACAGCAACATTAACAACAACAACAATGGACAAAAATCAGCATGAATGGGAGAAATCTGAAGGAGACAACATCCATCATCCACCTACCTACCTACCTACCTGGGAAGCATCGTTTCAACTACAGACGGATGGAACTGATGAGGATATCAAAGTGCGAGGATCGGGGAAGCAAGACAAGCTTTCATTTCTCTCTAGTCTGTGTGGAGGTCAACAGCACTACTCAACATGAAAATGAAAATCAGATCCGGATTTTCAACTCCAATGTGAAGTCAGTGCTATTTACTATATGGATCAGAGACTTGGCCCCGTGCCGTGCCGCGTCACGAAGGCCACATCGAACAAACTACAGACTTTCATCAACAGCTGTCTTCGCTCAATACTACTCGAGATCAGATGGCCGGCCAGAAACAATCAGCAATAGGGAGGGATTTCTGGAAAAGAACGAACCAACTCAGCAGGAACCAACTGTGCAAGAAATATGCAGGAAGAAATGGAGGCCGATTGGATTGGCCATACTCTGAGAAAACAAACCATCAAGTGAGTGACATCACACGCCATGCTCTCTCTCTCTCGAGTGGAACCCGAATGGGAAGCAGCGATTTGGTCGTCAGTGCGAGGGTGGGGTGACATGGATGAGGTGATGTGAAGAGGAGATGAAAGCATGTGGGCAGACGTGGAGCCAGGTGATGGAAACGTTGGCGGAGAAGGGAACTCAATGGAGACGTGTGTGTTCCTCTAGGAACTAAAGGAGACAATAATAATAAACAATAATAATCCATAGGAAACCGTGGTGATGTTTCACCACAAAATAAATCCCTTTTATTGGAAATATTTGGGATTTTATTCATCGACATTCCCATATATATCATTTGTTTTAATGCTGGCTGACACTTGAATACTAAATATTCGCTTCATCTTTTCTGACACTCATTAGATGAATTTACCCCGATCTCTAGGTGAACAATGATGTTCACAAGGAAACCGATATTATTAGCTACGAAAATATGATCTGACAGTTTTATATGGTATAAAGTATCGTTTCCTAAAAATACTGAATATTATTCTCTATTATTTGAATGTTTATGTGTGTGTGTTGATTTCACTTGGGATGCTACCCAGCCATCAACCGGGGGAATACTGAAGGAAGCCATCTTTTTCTTTAGCTCCCTTGGCAGTATTAATTCAACTACAACTAGGCGACAGGGATGAGGATAACAAAGCTTTAGTCAAGTTGTGATTAGGAAGGCAAGAAAGGCGATTATCCGTTTGAAATCAGTGTAGAGGTCTACAGCACTGAGCTTAAAAAGCATAAAACTAATTTCAAGTCGATCAGTGCTCAGGAATGGTTTAGAGATGGCGGCCTGCTGAAATCACTGGATTACTTCAATTCCCTATCCATCAAAATGCATCGTGTTTACTCCGCTTCATATTGTTTTAATGATCTAATTATCAGAATGATTCACAATTCATAATCGCGCGGTATTTGAAATAAGTTTCTACATACCGCCAGGGATTTTTCTAAGGAGATGGAGAAAGAACATCGTGAAGTAGTACTGGAGAAAACTTCGGGTTGGACAATATTCTTTCAGATGATATATTATCGGTTATTATAGTATTATTATTATTTGAAGATTCTGTGCAAGGAGGAAATACTTTGCAATGAGACTTGCTGGAAATTCTGTAATATGCGTTATGGCATTTTTCAGAATAAAGTTATTATTATTATTATTATAGACTTGGTGTGTGAATCACCAAAAACATTCACAAGAGGCTACTTTGGGGTGCCATCAACATAATTGCATATAAGACCACATACTACTGATTGATTCAGAAGAGTAGTTTTGTATATCCCTCATATCTCAATCAGTAGTGTCTGCTGACCAGATCGAGGTTCATCAAGATATCACCTTCACTGGCTCGATACTGAGGATCAGACGGATGGTCAGAAAGGCAAGGCAAAGAAGAACCAAAAATCTATTTCTCAACAAACATGCAGAAAGAAATGAAGATGAATTGGACACACACTCTTAGGGGACTGCTGAGTGATATAGACACCAGGTAGGCCCTGAAATGGACGACATATGGTCGTTCTTCCTAGGGTGACATAGAGGAGATCATATATTTGGAGGAAATGAAAAGTTATAATCAATCGTTGAGGTAGTTAGAAATGAATCCAGAGAATAGGGTGAAATTGTGATGTTCTCTTGAAGCCGCGTGTTTCACTTAGAACCCCAGGTAATAATAGTAATAATGAAATATGTGACTAGAGTGGTTAAACATGACTGCTTCATATTTATTTTCTGAAATTTCCATTTTTCATTCCCTGATGAGTCCTAGCGAAGTACGAAAGTTAAATGAGGCACAAATAAATGAATAAATAAATAAACATTCCTCCATAAACTCACTTTTATTATTTGTGTCATCTCATATTCTTCAATAGTACCATTCCTATCAATATCGTATAATTGGAAAGCTAATTCCAGCTTCTCTTCTGGGCTTCCAGATTGGGTAATGCTGATAGCCTGTATATGAATATATTGGAAAGAAGAGACAGAAAATGAAATGCATGCATATGTGACACATACAGACAGTGTCATTACTTATGAATGTCACAGTAGTACGGGTATAACAGGATCCTGGGCTAAGAGTTGGTTGCATTCTTATTTTTCTGATAGAATGCAGCATACTGTATATAATGACAAATCTTCTTCTGCCTCGCTTACAAAAGCCAGTGTTCCTCAAGGTGCCGTCCTCTCTCCTTTTCTTTTTTCTTTCTTCCTACACGACCTGCCTCATTTAAATGAAACTAACTTTGTCAGATATGCGGATGATCTGACTGTATCACTGCCTATCACTTCCAAGTCTGACTGTTCCAAAATTAACAGCTTTCTGTTGGAGATCAGCAAGTGGTCTAAGTCAAATGGTTTTATGTTAAATCCTTCCAAATGTCAGGCAGTTAACTTTACTTTCAAGCATCGACGTGACATACATGATCTAGTTAGTTCCCATGATGCCTGTAGCACAGATGGCACTGAAATTGAAACCAAGTCAAGCATTAAATACCTTGGATTAGTTCTTTCCTCTGATCTTTCATGGTTATCCCACATCTTATCAATCTCTAAGAAAATGTCTCATTTTACCTTCTGCATTAAAAAGTTAAGACAATCAGGTATCAACCAACCTTTACTTCTGCAATTTTTAAACTCCTGTATTTTACCCATTGCACTCTACTGCTCTCTATCAAATTTCCTGGGCTTCCCGAAAAAGACTATATCATATTACGAAGGGTATTAAATGATGTGAGTAGGGTTTGTAGTATGCCACTGCGTGAGCTCGCCAATATTATAGTCGAGAGAGATATAAAATCCTGTACAAAATAGGCAAAGGCCGTACTGTCAGACCCACTGCAACCCCTTTATTCACAACTATCCCCTTGCATCTCATCAGGTAGGACGATAAGTCAATATAAAAAGTTATATGCTCGCACCACTAACTACAAAAATTCTACAATACCGTATTTAGCCCGTATTTTATGTGATGGAGACACTGTTAGACGTGAAACATATAAGTTACTATGTAATTAGCATAGTGAACCCAACCTTTCATTGTTCATCTTTCTGTAATTTTATGGTGTCACCCTTTCTATCATTTAATTATAACTTAGCTATTTTATTTTAGTTGTTATTACTATTATTACTACAATTATATACTTTGTGCATATTTTTATCCTTATCGCATACTGTAATTGCTGCATAGCTGCTATAACAACGTTTTGTTGTTATTGTTATGTAATTTTTATTATTTTTTTGTCGTTTTGAGTAAATTAGATGCAATATTGTACTGAATGATGAAAATTCCTTGCTGTATCATTAGTACTGTTTTTGGAATAAAGCAAAAATTATTATTATCTAGGAAAAAGCTTAGCTACTGCGATGCATTAACTGACATTTAACTACACAATTTGAGTGAGGTTAGGATAAAAGTATTAAAAAGTGATGGTGGAGATAAAGGCTAATCATCGAACATTAAACACTTCACCCAACGCCTACGAGGAATATACCGCTGCGGCCCCCCACACACACACACACTTTGAACACCCTGATACGGCAGAGACTGGGTAGACTTCCATCTGCCTCTCAAAATTCTTTTATGTTGCCACACATTCATAGCCTCTGCCAGGAAAGACCCATTTTTACTGACTTCATTCAGCGGGTTACGATATAGTGGGGGAAATCTGGACTCCAGAATCCAAAAGGATTGAATGCTGTATGAATTTGGTTCGGTTACCGGAGAACATAGGAATGTAGCTTCTGATGCTGCTCCACTACATTGTTGGTCAGACTTTCAGTTATGGATCCGTAGGTGGGGTGGTGCTTTAAGACAACAACCATCTGTTTCATTCTATGAGTCCGGCCATTAGCCTAGCCGTCACACAGACCATGAAACTGACTTTTTGTGTGTCTCTTGGTGGCCATCATAATAATATACTGAATATTTGGAAAATTATAAGCTATTATAAGCGATAAGTTTTACTCGAAATGTCACGCAGTTATTATTATTATTGTATCCCTCATTGTGTATTCTATATCAAATAAACTTGCCTAATATTCAATGAAAGAGATATGGCATGTCTTTTCTTCAATTGTTTACAGAATATATATTACTTACAAATGTCACAGCAGTATGTGTGTGTGTGTGCGTAGGTGTATAAACAAATAATACTGAGGTAAGAAAAAATTGTCACATCTACGTGTCACGTCATATTGTTGTAAACAAATGTATGACTAACCCTCATAGCTCCTTTGACATTTCCGAAGAGAAAAACAAATGTGCCATTAAAACAATAATAAGTGAGAAGTTATATGATAAGGTGGTCGGAGGCGATCAACAGAGAGACAGAGAGTGAGAGAGAGTCTTGATTGACCTAGGTTTCGTGTTCATTACCACTCACCAGTTATCAAGGCGTATTTACAACCTTGAGGGAACTCATGTCCCTTCTGAGATTCGAACCAGGGTCACCCAGTGAGTACTGCAATCAGAGATGTTACCACTGAGTTATTTGGGCCAGTGACTAACTTCTTACAGGATTGTAATAGATACTTCGATTGGATACAGTAGGTAGTAGTAACTAGTGTCATATATTTAAAGCAATTAGTTCCGTTTATGAATTTCAACAACACAATAAGAAGACGTAGTTTATCTGAAACGTGTAATGTATATGTGCACAACACATTTTGGACATTCTGATCACACACCTAGGTACTTGTCATACACAGTTATATAGAAGACAAGAAGGCATGAATCAGATTGTGTAAAGGTCGACGTCACAAATAATGGGTAGGGAGATGACGCAAAGGTGTGGGTAAGAAAGACGGGCTTGGAAATATTATGAGGTAAATTGAACCTTGATTCTAAATTGGATTATCAAGGCAGGTTTAATTATTATATTATTATTGTTTCCTTTAATTCCTGGAGGAACATATGGCTTCAGCCGTGCGTCTCCATTGCATTCGGTTCTCTGCTAGAGTCTTCACCTGGCTCCAAGTCTGCTCACACGTTTTCATCTCCTCTTCACATGACCTCCTCCAAGTCACCCTTGCACTGACGACCAACTCGCCGCTTCCCATTCGGCTTCCACTAGAGGGCTTGTCTAGTGATGTCACTTGCTGGTTTCCTCAGAGTATGGCCAATCCATCTCCATTTCTTCCTGCTTATTTGTTGCACAATCGGTTCCTGGTTGGTTCGCTCATTGCCAGAGATCTCTGTTGCTGATCTTTTCTGGCCAGCCATCTGATCTTGAGTATTGAGCGAAGACTGGTGTTGATGAAGGTCTGTAGTTTGTTTGAGGTGCTCTTTATGACGCGGCGCCAAGTTTCTGATCCGTATATTAGCACTGACTGGCTTCACATTGGAGTTGAAAATCCGGATCTTATTTTTGATGCTGAGTGCTGTTGACCTCCACACAGAATTGAGAGTAATGAAAGCTTGTCTTGTTTTCCTGATTCTCGCTTTGATATCCTCGTCAGTTCCGCCTGTAGTTGAAACGATGCTTCCCAGGTAGGTAAAAGAGGTTGTTTCTTTCAGGCTCCTTCCATTTATGCTGATTGTTGTCTGTTGTTGTTTTTGTTGTTGCTGTTGGTGGTGTTGGCCAGGAATCTCCATCACCTCTATTTTCTCTATGTTCACCTGAAGTCCTATCTTTGATGCTTCTTCTGCCAACTTGTTGCTTTTCACTTGTATATCTTCCAGTTTGTAGGAAATCAGACATATGTCATCGGCGAAGTCCAGATCCTCCAAGTTTTTTGTGTGTTGGTCGATTTTATACCTGTTTCCTTATTGCCCACTGTCTGTCGCATTATCCAATCTACTGCAATCAGGAAAATCATTGACGATAGTAGGCAGCCAGCTTGTCTTACTCCTGTCTTCACTTCGAAGGATTCCGTGAGCTTCCCGTTGTGGATTACTTGGCATGCAGCGTTGTCATACAACTGTTGGATGAGATGTATAATCGTCGGCGGCACCCCGTAGTAGCGAAGTAGTTGCCAAATCACCTCTCGATCGACGCTGTCAAAGGCCTTTTCAAAGTCGATGAAGTTGAGATAGAGAGGTGACTGCCATTCCAAACTTTGTTCAATGATGATCCGTAGTGTGGCGATTTGATCAATACATGACTTGTTTCTCCTGAATCCAGCTTGTTCTGGTCGAAGTTTTTCATCCAAGGCTTGTTTGATCCTTTCCAGGATGATGCGGCTTAGTATTTTGCTTGGGATGGACAGGAGCATAATTCCGTGCCAGTTCTTGCATTGACTTAAGTCTCCTTTCTTTAGGATTACTAAAATCAGCCTTTTGACGCGTCTCTATAATGTGCTTCGCTATAGATGATGTTGGACATCTATATCCGGGATCAGTTGAATCCGGCGATTTGAATTGTTTTTGCAGCCACCTTGCAATATGTTCTGTAGCCCGTATGCTGCAGAAACCGATAGGTCCTCCTTATGTACGTGTGTCCACACATACATGTAAATGGACACTATAGTTCGGATACTATGACTGTTTACTGGACAGTATAGTTCTCGTTTTCTCTATGAAGATAAGTTTAGCTGCATAGTTATTTCTATTAATTCATGTCATATATCTTGCCCCATCGTTTGATAATCCCTTGAAATATACTTAACATACATTTTCATATTTTATAATGTAAACTCTAGTGAATGATATATTCTGATAACTATGCTGTTACTGTAGAATGAGTGAAGTATAATTCGACAGTATGTGATGGATAAACTACCGCCTGAGGCAATCCACTTCAATGTGTATATACTCTTTCACACTGTTTCACACAGAGCTGATTACTTTGGATGTTGCAAGCATGTTATCTAGAAACATGTAGCTGAACACTACTCGGTTTGATTGATGAAAGGCATGAGCATAAAAATGATGAAGTCTTCCATCTGCGAACATGTTCTTCAGTCAGATAAGTTATTGTTTCCCGAACAATTTATCCTTTGAAGTTATCTAAAGG